TAATTAAGTTAATCTAAGAAAATAAATCGATCTTGATCTCAGAGCAAGCAAGGCAAGAACCATGTAAGATGAAAATAGACCAAAACAAAAATGTGCAATCATAGTTATCAAACAAAAAAGYAAAACATGAGAACTGTAAGAGGATGGATCGTATGACTCGTATAAAAAACATATTCTTTTTTTTTTTAGATTACAGCATCATGAGGAACAGGAATATTTCACTTGCTTGGTTTGCGGTTGCTTCTGCAACGTTCTTGGACCTTGGACTGAATGCAGAACAACGGATATGTCTGTATAAAGAGTGCTTAGAAGTAGCCCAGGAAAAAAGGGATTCGGGACTCCTTTTTCATTGTACTTATGCTTTAATTTCGTTAATGGCCAACACCATGGGTGATTCCAGGGGTAGCGAAGAAGAAGAAGAATCGGTTGATAAGGAAGAAGAGATGGCTGATGCAAATGAGTACTTGCAAAAAGGGATGGCCCACTTGATAAAAAAAGAATATGATGATGTCATATTCTACAGTGAAAAATGTCTTGCCATAGTACAAGAATATAGTGATAAAGTTGTCGAGATGGGCGCCTGCTGTATGTTAGCGGAAGCCCACTTCAGTAAAGAAGAATATGATGATGCTATATTCTACAGTGAAAAATGTCTTGCCATCGCACAAGAATCTGGTGATAAAGTGGTCGAGATGTATGCGTACACTACGCTAGGAATTGCGCACTTGAAGAAAGACAAATGTGATGATGCTATATCTTATAGTAAGAAATGTCTGTTTATTGCACAAGAATCTGGTAATAAAGAAGTTGAGGTGAAGTTGTACATGACGTTGGGGGTTGCCCACTGGAGTAAAGAAGAATATGATGATGCTATATTCTACAGTAAGAAATGTCTGTTTATTGCACAAGAATCTGGTGTTAAAGTTGTCGAAATGACGGCTTGCAGGACTTTGGGGATTGCCCACTGGAGTAAAGAAGAATATGATGATGCTATATTCTACAGTGAGAAATGTCTTGCCATCGCACAAGAATCTGGTGTTAAAGTTGTCGAAATGACGGCTTGCAGGACTTTGGGGATTGCCCACTTCAGTAAAGAAGAATATGATGATGCTATATTCTACAGTGAGAAATGTCTTGCCATCGCACAAGAATCTGGTGATACAGTTGTCGAAATGACGGCTTGCAGGACTTTGGGGAAAGCCCACTTCAGTAAAGAAGAATATGATGATGCTATATTCTACAGTGAGAAATGTCTTGCCATCGCACAAGAATCTGATAACAAAGTGGTTCAAATGTATGCATACAATACGCTAGGAATTGCGCACTTGAAGAAAGACAGATGTGATGATGCTATATCTTATACTAAGAAATGTCTGTTTATTGCACAAGAATCTGGTAATAAAAAGGTTGAGATGAAGTCGTACGTGACGTTGGGAAAAGTTGACTTGAATAAAGAAGAATATGATGATGCTTTATTTTACAGTGAGAAATGTCTGTTTATCACACAAGAAGCTGGTAATAAAGTTGTCGAGATAGAGTCGTACGTGACGTTGGGGATTGCCCACTTGAGTAAAGAAGAATATGATGATGCTATATCTTATAGTAAGAAATGTCTCTTTATGGCACAAGAATCTGGTGATAAAGTTGTCGAGATGAAGTCGTACATGACGTTGGGGAATGCCCATTTGAAGAAAAAAGAATATAATGATGCTATGTTATACCTTGAAAATTGTCTTGCCATTGCACAAGAATCTGGTGATAAAGAGGTTAAGATGTACGCGTACATTATGTTAGGGGATGCGCACTTGAAGAAAGACAGATGTGA